GGAAGCCCGCATGCTAGGCTTTGCTCTCATCAAGGAAAACTATGTGACCGATCCAGATTTTAGAACCGTCATTGAGGATTGTAGACATGGTGCTTCTGGCCCATTTTACCTACATGACGGATATCTATTCCGCGATCGCCGACTTTGCATCCCTGTTGGGTCGATGCGAGACATGATCATCCACGAGGCACATGGAGGTGCCCTTGCGGGACATTTCGGAGTAGATAAAACGCTGGCCATCATCCAAGAACATTTCTTTTGGCCGCACCTTAAGCGAGATGTGAGGAAATTTTGTGCTAAATGCATCGAATGCCATCGAGCTAAATCGAAAGCACATCCTCATGGTCTCTACATGCCGTTACCGATCCCGACCCAGCCTTGGGTAGACATTTCGATGGATTTTGTCCTCGGTCTTCCGAAGCTACAACACAAGGACTCCATATTTGTAGTGGTCGATCGGTTTTCGAAGATGGCTCACTTCATCCCGTGCGCAAAGACGGATGATGCCAGGAATATAGCCAACCTCTTCTTTCGTGAGGTTGTGAGGCTGCACGGTATCCCCAAAACAATAGTATCCGATCGAGATTCAAAATTCCTTAGCCATTTTTGGCGGACTCTATGGAAAAAGATCGGTACTAAGCTCGTCTTCTCGACAACGTGTCACCCTCAAACGGATGGCCAAACCGAGGTCGTGAACCGCACACTATCGACTCTCTTACGAGCAACCAGCGGGAAAAACCTCGGCAATTGGGTTGAATGTATTCCCCATATCGAGTTCGCATACAACCGAGCTACGCATTCGGCAACTCGCCACTCCCCGTTTGAAACCGTTTACGGATTCAATCCGATCACGCCTTTGGACCTTGTAGCATTACCTAGTGACGAATGGGTGAACGTTGAAGGGGAACAAAGGGCCGAGTTCATTAAGGAACTCCATCAGCGAGTGCGTGACAATATTGCTCGGAAAACCGAACAATACGCCCGCCAAGCCAATAAGAGTAGAAAAGCCGTGACATTTAACGAGGGCGATTGGGTTTGGTTGCATTTCCGCCCGGAGCACTTTCCCGACAAGAGAAAGTCCAAGTTAGCACCACGCGGAGACGGTCCCTTCAAAGTCATCGAGCGCATCAACGATAACGCATATCGGCTCGAACTTCCTGGTGAGTATACCGTTTCTAATTCCTTTAATGTTATTGATTTGCGTCCTTATCTTGCAGGATCCGACTTTTCGTGGGCGAAAACCTCTCAGGGGGGAGGGAATGATGAGGACATGGAGCCGGAGCTGGAACCGGAGCAGGAGCACTTGAATGGGAGCACACGGAGCTAGGAGCGAACATGGATTCCTCGGAGCAATCAACCGAAGACCAACCCTTGGACATGTCAAGTGATCAAGACGTTACATGATCACTTGATCCCGCAAAGCTCGACAACGACCATCACGCGAAGGGTGCCCCACGAGCATACATTAGGGTCGAGCCGCCAATCACTCGGGCCAAAACTCGAGCACTTCGCCAACTACTATATGGCATCGTTGATCAAGTCTTGAGTGGGATACGGGACGAAGACGAGGGCGACACTCCCCGACATGGCATGCATCATGTCTTCACCATCATGGCCGAACCCTACATGCAAAAGGAAGCTTCTTGAGCTGCAAGCAAAGTCCCAACAGCTATATTCTTCCAACCACCACATTAAATGCATATTAGGCTCCTCTTGTGCATGTTAAGCACAATTAAGACTCCATTCTCCTTCTATATATTTTCGAATTCACTCTTGTAATTTTCAGACTTGTTGTTGAATGAATTTTGCTCTTAAGTTTATCTCTTTCTCGTCTTTGGTGTGTCCAAAACGTGATCCGAGCTCGACGGTGTGTTCGCGGCTGTCCAAGGTTCGGTGTGTCCGACCTTTGTCACCTTTCCTTCACCTATTCACTTCACCATTCCCCTCCTTTGATTCGAGTTCGAATT